GATGATGATGAAGATGATGATGATGATGATGATGATGATGATGATGATGATGATGATGATGATGATGATGATGATGATGATGATGATGTATGTATGTATGTATGTGTATGTATGTTTGCCATTGTAAACCAAAGTGCCCTTCTGGGACAAATAAAAGTGTAATTTATTTTTCATTTTCTGCAACTCTCCGGTATTAATTGTCCTGACCATCAGGTTCCCCACATCGCTGTGGTCATCACGGATGGACGTAGCAATGACCCCACCAGCACCACCATCGCTGCTGACCAAGCCAGGCAGAACGGAATCAGGTCAGAGTCAGACAGATTGTCCGTCTTTACGCTGGTCCCTTTTCACTCTGCTGATCCTCGCAGTATCTATTCGGAAACGTCTCCGACAGAGATAGACCAATCAAAATGCTTTGGACCTATAGACCAAGTAAAAAAAATTGGTGGGTGTTTTAACCCATAATTTGATATTTTGCCGTTAGGTTTGAAATTTTCAAGAAAATAATTGACTTGAGATAGTTTTTGTGGCTATATGTGGGATCTGCAGCAAACGATACGCAGTATGACCCGCCAAAGCAGTGCATCTGTGTGCGGGAGTACGTCTCCGAATAGTTCCTGGGTGCTCGCCGGAGACGTCTCCGAAATATCTTCTGCCGCTGATTCCAGTTCGCCAGCAATGTTTGCATCTCCCCTCCCCCTCTTTCAGCAAGGCCAAAGGCGATCAAAAGTTAACATGTATATGTCTGTCTCCTCTAACTCTCCCCTCCTCCCCTTTCCCACCCCGCCAACAGAGTCCAGTTTTTTTTAGTATTTTAGCGTCTATAAAAGGCAGCTTGCACTGTTTGTTTACTAGGAAGTTGAAGTTGTTTCAGAATGCTCTCAGGTCTGCTGGGGTAGTAGTATAGATTGTGAAGCGTATAGAGTTTACTATTGGGCGGGGATTTGCGCTATACAAATGCTATCTATTATTTTTTAAAATTATTAATTATTGTTATTATTAATATTACTAATATTACAACTCAAAATCGATTGCCTTCAATCTTAAACCACAGCGTGTCATTTGTCAGTCTGGCCTGCTTGTACTGGTACAGGAACACTAGTGATGGTTTCCTCCCTTGGTTTTGGCACCGTGATAATTTGTGCACTGTGCACAACTTACAAAACTTGGCTGATTCTATTTCAGTTCTGTTCCATGACCCCCATGACTGTTCATCTTGCATATCTCTACTGTTTGCAGATTGATATAAATGAGTAATTATCTTTTTAAAAGATTACTCTGTTCATACAAAAGTAATTCCGTGTTTTTAATTGAGATGAAGGCATTAAAGGCTCATGTGCTGTGAGTAGATAAGATTCAAAGAGGTAACAGATCGTCAATGTTGTTCCTGTCACTAGTCTTAGCTGTGCCATGGCATTCCATTACATGAAAGCAGTGGACACTTGGCTGTGGTCTGCTCCTTCTTCTTTTAATGTTTCCGTTGCCTCACATATTCCTGGCGAAATATGTCCAGTCCGTGGCTATAAACTTCATCATGGCAATATTGCAAGATCTCGTGGAAGCACTTTGCCGCACATGCCCAAAGCTCCCTGTGCGGTACATTGGCCCTAAGCCTAGCGAATGTGACTGCATCTCTTTGTGAGTTCTTGTATACTCACTGCTCACCTTTGTACTTTGTGATCACCCTGTACTGTATTGAAACTTGGTCTATGAGATAAGTTGTTCCTCTATTTTGAATACGAAATAGAATTTCCTTACAGTCTGTGTGGTGACATTGAAAAATTGGGTTTTTTAAAAAGTGATATTCTTGACTTCGAATAGCAGCAAGGATTGTTGTGAAAGATGTGTCTCTCCTCAGTGTGAGAAGTGAGACAAGATTTCTTCATCAACTGTTGTGGCATATCATGTATACAATCTTTGGTTCAACATGAATGCTGGGAGGAACACATTCTATCTTGATGATTGTTACCACCTACTTTTACCATTTTTGGCTAGAATACTTTGAAATGCAGTTGGTTATATTTCAAGTAGGCTGCTGGAAAATTAAATGTTTCTATTACTTTGTATTTGTGAAAGTCGATGCACACAGTTTAGTGTTTGTTCTTCCTGATCCAAAGTTCTGAACAAAAAAGCACCATTTTTTAGTCTGTCTAAAAGTAAAAGATTTTTTGAATTGTCATTCAAATGGTGAGCTTGAAAAAAGGCAAAGTTTGGATTCACTTACCTTTAGCAGCATTTGCTAGAAAAAGTAAGTGAATTTTATTTGTGGCTTTACAGACCAAAATGAGCATAGGGCCTGCTGGGTTTTTTTTTTCAATGTTCTGTGATGAGATTGTTCGAGAAACTGGCCTGGAGAGTCAGATGTATAAACTATCTTTAATCTTGTCATTATTGTGATGAATAATTTTTATGTATAAATAGATGATGACTAAAATCACAATTGACTTCTCCGTGGATGTACATTTTGGTTTTTTGATGTAAATTTTTGTCTGTGTGATGCTACTGTTGAGGATTCAGCTTTGCATGTTTCTAGTGTTGTAAAAATTTTGTTTGTTTGTGAGTGTATGCCTGGTTAAAACAGTTCTCATGATTGGATTTGTTCATATTGAGTTTATTTATAGAGATGGTTAAAAACGAGTGTTCTGGAAAGTGTCGATAAGTGGAGAGACAAGATGTACTCTGTTTTGTTCTCTAGAATGTTAGTGAAGTTTAAAGAGAGGAGAATGAGAAGTTGTGAGGATGTGTGTTTACCTCTGTTGTCTTTTTGTTTTGTTTGTTGG